TGAAAGAGACGAAGTATCTCTTACCACTGAAAGATTTTGGAGTTATTGGCCCACACAAATAAGTATGGATCACTCTGAGTTGCTGCTTTGTTCGACACTCAGAACTTCTTGGGAAAGAAGTCCTCGCTTGCTTCCCAATCACACATTCTTCATAGAACCTTTTTTCGAATTCCATTATAGGCATTCCGAGCACCATCTCCTTTTTCACCAACGCAGTCAACCCATTGAAGTGAAGATGACCAAACTGAAAATGTCACTTCATGGCCTCATCCTCCATATCAAGTTACATGCATTTATCTTGAACTGTTTTCAGCTCAAGTTTGTACATGCGATTTTTCTTCATTTCCACCAAAGCAATAAGCCTCCCGAATTTATCCTTCAGTTGTAGTTCTCGGTCCTTCATCAGAATCGAGTACCCCTTCTCCATTAACTGTCTCATGCTCAATATGTTGCTTTTGAGATCAGGTACGTAGTATACATCTCTTATCTCTCTGATTTGCCCATTTCTTTGTTGATACCATATTGTTCCTTAACCTTTGACAGCTACTTTCGAAACATCACCGAAAGAAACAGATTCGGACTCCACCTTTGAAAGTATTTTGAATAAGCGCTCGTCACTACACATGTGGTTACTAGCGCCAGTGTCCAAGTACCAAACCGAGTTATTAGAACAGTTCGGTTTGACCTCAGTTTCGGAAATGTTTGTCACCATCAGCAATTCTTCATCTTCTTCCTCAGCAAGAAATTTTGTTGGTTCCTCCTTTTTTCTTCTCGGACCTACAATATTTAGAAATATGACCCAGTTTTCCACAATTATAGCATTTTACGGAGTAACAGTCCTTGGCAACATGCCCATTTTTCCCACAATTATAGCATTTTATCGAGTAACAATCCTTGGTAATATGTTCATTCTTCCCATAATTATAGCATTCAATATTGTTTGTGTTTGTCCGGCCACCCCGAGTCTGTCCTTGGTCACGCCAGTTCTGTTGATCGTCTTGCTCATTTCCTCGTCCTCATTTTCCTCTACCACCTCGGCCTCTGCCTTTTCCTCAGCCTCTGGTACTCTGAGCATAGAGCACCTTCTCCTCTTTTATTGTCGCCTTTGCCTGGAGAGTCTGTTCAAAGGACTCCCCCTTCTTGTTTTTCCTTCTCTGCTCATGCGCTTCTAGGGACCCAACAAGCTCTTCAAGGATGAGCGTTGACAGATCCTTGGACTCCTCTATTGCGCACACGATGTTCTCGAAATCATCTGTCAATGATCTCAAAATTTTTTCAACAACTCGGTTTGATGAAAGACTCTTACCATTCTGATTCAACTTGTTCACCACGGTCTCCACCCGAGTAATGAACTCGGATACACTTTCAGGCTTTTTCATCCTCATGTTTTCCAGCTCGCCCCTAAGGGTTTGAAGTCGAACTTGTTTCACCCGTTCATCTCCTTTGTTTGCTTTTTCAAGTGTATCTCATGCTACTTTGGAAGATTTTGCATTAGTTATCTTCTCAAAGTCGGATTCGTCGATGACTCGGTATAGCAGATACAAAGTCGCATTGTCTTTAGCTCGAACGACCTTCAATGCGTTCAACTGGACATTTGAATACCCATATGTGTTCACTGGTTCCTCATACCCATTCTCGACCACATCCCAGTTATCTTGGGAGCCGAGAAGAGCCTTCATTTGTACCTTCCAGTGTCATAGTTGGCGCCTTTCGTCAACTTGGATAGCGGGATGTCATTGGTTATACCTGTCATTTCCTCTCAAGTCACTATTACAAATAAGGCTTTCCACGTCGGTTCTGGAAGGCCTTCAACGGCGGTTCTATCAGACTTTCCACGTCGGTTAAATAGAACCAACGTTGAAAGTCCTGACTTTCAAATCGAAAATTTTTATTTATTTCCAACCCCTCTCCCCTCTCTCTATTTATCTAGAAATTCCCCCTCTCTTTTATATTATATTTTTATTATTTATCATCTTTTTTTAAAGTTTAGAGCATTAGCAAATTAATTTTTTGTCACCGACGGATTCGAACCCAGTACCTTAGTGTTGGAGGTCGATACTCCAACCACTAAACTACTCGAATTTTTTGATAATAACTTACAAATAAATTATATTTATATACAAATAAATATATATCCGTGTAAATATATAAATATATAAATACAAATATATTTATATATTTTGATATATTTATATAATTATATATTTATATGTTGGATGTGAGGGCACGCTCGAAGGTGAAAGTGTGTCGAGTGAGTTTTCAAAATTTGATGTCAAATTTGTGAGCGAGTCTCTTTATATGGGTTTGTAATTTAATGACAGAATATAATATTTATAATTTATTAATGATATAAAATAAATATGAGAAACGCATCATTCGCTCAAGCGAAAAATACCAATTTTTGCTCAAGCGAAGCTTGAACGAGTGAATTTCCGTGAGTTTTAACGTATTTTCACTCAAGCGATAGTCAATCTCACTTTCACCCTCGAACGCGTCTTCACATCCAACATATAAATATATAACTATATAAATATATATAAATATATCAAAATATATAAATATATTTGTATTTATATATTCTATATTTATATATTTACACGAATATATATTTATATGTATATAAATATAATTTATTTGTAAATTATTATAAAAAAATTATAGTAGTTTAGTGGTTGAAGTATCAATTTTCAACTCTAAAATACTCGGGTTCAAAAAATCTCGTTAGTGACAATTCTCTAACTTAAGTAAATTTTTGGTTGAAAAAAATAAAAACACTTTCCGGAAAATATATATATTTACACGGATATATATTTATTTATATATAAATATAATTAATTTGTAAGTTATTATCGGAAAATTACGATAGTTTAGTGGTTGGAGTATCAACTTTTAACTCTAAAATACTCGGGTTCGAATCTCGTCGGTGACAATTCTCGAACTTAAGTAAATTTTTGGTGAAAAAAATAAAAACACTTTCCGGAAAATATATATAAATAAATATATATTTACACAGTATATATATTTATTTGTATATAAATATAATTAATTTGTAAGTTATTATCGAAATTCGTGAAAATATATACAAATAGATATATGTTTACAGATATGTATTTGTGATATAAATACAACTAATTTGCAATTATCTAAAATTACGTTTAGTGGTTGAGATCATTTCAGCTCTAAATGCTTGATCAATTCTTGAAATTAAGAGAATTTTTGGGTGAAAACACATTCAACGTCGATTCGGACTTTCAACGTTGGTTCATCTAGAACCGACGTGGAAAGTGCTTTCTACGTCGGTTGACTAAGAACCGAGCGTAGAATGTGTCCAACATTCCACTTTCAACGTCGTTTTTTAACCAAAATGAATTGTTACAATTATTTATAACCAAAATATTTACCTGTTCAAATCCCAAAAATTAATCATGATATCTATTAAATAGGTTTACAACCCATTAGTTATATCACTCATAATTAAAATCATTAATATTATTTTAGGAATATTAAACGTATGCTTTAAGTTTTTTACGAAAGGGTACTCTATATATACAACACTCTGCACTGGTGGCTTTGCTCTCTCCAACATTTCTTTAATATCGATCATAACATCATCCATGTTCATCTTTCTAGTAATCTAATAACCAAAAACCAAACAAGTTCAAGTGAAGTACAGGGCAGAAAGCAAATGAGGCACAAGAAATTAAAGTGATGAAACTACGAGTGTTATCTAGCAGTGGGGAACTATGGCAGCTGATAATGTGTTTTATTAGGGTTTTGAAAATTGAGAAAAATAGTTGGTGAGATGTACATGCGATTTGGTGTCCGTCAATTCTTGCTCATTATTTTCCTTGTGCGAAATCGTCATGCAATTTACATTTCCACCCTTGTACATTCTTTTCCTTCTTATTCAAATTGCAGTCCATTTTTTTTTTTTTGAAGATTGTTTCTGTTCCATTAAGTATTAATTACGGGATGCTCATGATTTTTTAATATATTTTCATATCTAAAATTATTTTATATAATTGTAAGTAGTTTTGTTAATTATACATAAATTTATTTTAAAACTAAAGAACACATGAATATCATTTTATTAAGAATATATTAAAGAGGCGAGTATTTATTTTAAGATTAAAAAATGGTATAAGAGTTACTGAGTAGGACTTCACGCGAGATAAATGTAAGTTCTCTTATATATATATATATATATATATATATATATATATATATATATATATATATATATATATATATATATATAGTTTAATCTTTGTAATATGCAATACTTTTTGTACTTTTAAATTAATAATTTGGTTTTACATCTTAAAAACAAGTTCAATTTAATTCAGTCACCAAGATTATCGTAGACTGACTTATCGGATAGGGTTATAATGCTCCTTCTAAAAAAATAAAAACCACTTTTATTAATTATATATATATTTACTGAGTAGCGATATTGACATCATTTTTTATTTTAAATATCTAATTAACAACTTATTTTATTAATAAAATAATAATAATAATAAATATATCTTAATTTTTATTATTATAAAATTAATAAAAACAATTGTTTTTTAAATGTTTATACCATAATTATTGTCAATTTATATTTTTTTATTTACTTTTCACTATTTTCTATTTTTATTTTGTAATGGCAAGTAGACAATCTCTTGCTCCCAAATATCATCCTACAATTTTATTTAAATAATATAATAATAATAATACAGAGACCTAAATATATAGCACAGTGGTTTTGTATAGGAAAGAAAGCAAGATGAATGAAATTAAACTAAGCTTTATGCAAAGCGATCATAGTGGAATTGTTCATTGAAGGAGTAGAATAATCTGTTACAACACACAAAACTAAGGAAACCATTGAAACATTTCAGACAAATGGAAATAGGATAAATTGAAAAAAAAATAATAATAATAAATAATCACAACAATTAGCATGCAACAAATAATTGAATTACCATGTCTTCCATGGGAGGGGAGGCATAAAGCTATTGTTGCGGTAGTACTTGCAAGACAGAACAAACTGTCTGAATGAAAGAGAGAATAAGGAGAACAATTGCAGCAATGGTAGCAGCAGTTTGCCAAGGACTGTTACAATAATCACGTCTCAGTGTGGATTTCAACTTGTTATAAAGATTACCATAAAAATGATTCAACTCTTCGCCGAGACGAGAGTAATCGGAATTGATGTTTGACTGTGTAACATTTTTGCCAAGACTATTTAACAGGTTAGCCACAGAATCAGTATCTCCTAGCCAGTTCACCAGTACTTTCTGTTGGACCAGTGTATCCACATCTCTGCTTGTGTTTACAAGGAAGTCTAAAACAGAAACATAGTCTGTAATGTAGGATTCGAAAGGATAGTGACACTGCTCCAAAGCTACCATATTCCGAAACAAAATTTCAGTGCGATCTTCCACTTTCAACTGTGGCATTTGAAGAACCCCTTCTGAAAATCTCAAGTCCAGCAAACAGTCACTTCTAAGAACCTTAAAGTTCACCCCTGCTTCTGACAACTCAGAAGCACTAGGAACATATGCCACTAATTCACCATCCCTAGGAGGTCGTCTTTCCAGAGGATGTTGCAAGTGGAAAGTTCTAATTAGATCCGTGAAGTGACTTATTCTAATATTGTTACCAAAATTCAATTGAGGTTTATTGTAATAGTCAAAATAGTGAAATGTAAGTTCAATAAATGAAGGGATGTGATCGTTACCGACAATAGATCCAGTACTGAAGGAGAGATTGTAAAGATCGGTAAGAACATGAAACGGAAGCTGGTTTTCAAATAGCAGCAAATCTACTGATATAGTATCGGCTATGAAGGGATTTGAAAGAAAGGTATCATTCCCTGACAGTTCCACATTATTATGATATTGTTTCCAGAAAAGCTCAAATATAAAACCAGAATCCACCAAGATTATTTTCACCAGTTCCTCCTTGCTGAACTTAAGGTTCTCTGAATAACGGCGCCGAAAATCAGTCTCCTTCTCTTCTATGTAGCGGATCCAGGTGTCCAAACTTGTTTGGGTTCGTTCAATGAATGCGTCACAATAGATGAATTTGTGTCTTTCCATGTTTTGAAGGCGAGGATTGCCGTTGTGGTGAAGAGGGCCTATAGAAACAACCTTTGGGGTGTATGCATCTTCGTTGACTTTGCGGATATCAAAGGGCACTCTGTAGATGCTACAATCTTCAGTTACTGGTGGCCCTGCCCCCTTCAGCAACGTCCTAATATTGATTCCAACGTCTTTGTGGTTCATGATCTCTGAGGGGCTAACAACAGGGATTTTTGGCTACTGAAAATTCTATTTAACACTAGTGATTGAGATATAAGAGTGAAAAATATAAGCATGGAAGATGATTTGTGATAGAAAAAGAGAACTAAAGAGAAATGATTAATGTCTTTGAAATGTAATGAGCAAGCATGGAATAGTATGAGTGCAGAATTATCCTATTCCTTTCTTTCTAATAAACTTCGAGTCTTGGCGACGAAAGTGCTTGCTCTTGCGTGATGCGTTTCTCAAGAGAATCAGAATAATTAAGTACGAAAACACTATTTTGAAAACCCCATTTTATAAAACCTCCAATCTACAATTACTTTTAATATAATAATAATTTTTTTTATTTAATATCAAATTCTTTTATAGTAATAAATTGGGTTGTATTTAGAGATGTTTTATGATACGGGTGTGAATATCCCGACTCAATTAACTATACTTATTTTTAGAAATTAGATATGGTTTAAATAGTTGTTAAGTTAATCTTTATATTATTAATTGATTTTATGTTACCATCGTAAAAATTTCATTTTTTTCTATTATTATTATTATTTTGGTTCAAAAGTTATGATTGTGAATAAAAATATATTTTATTGTTGTTTGATGAAAAGTTGTCCTTAAATTTTGCAGACTTCGTTGTACTGAAGTGTTAGAATTTATATACGTACATCGTCTTAGGAGGTAATTAAATATCAAAAACCAATATTTCATATGCTATAATTAAGTAGACAAAAGCACTTGCATGCATGCATTCGTAATTTAAGCAGCTTTCTAACTATTTCTCTCCATCTTTCGTCCCAGTATTAAAATGTTAATCTTAGGATATTGGTTTGGCAGCATAGTCCCAGACCATAAATAACCGGGAAATGATAAATTTAATTGCTACAGGTAGTTCATATAATTTTTTTATTGGACAACTACAAATAAGTAATGGTCAACAGATTTTTCTTTGGTCAAAATTTCCCTTGAGTATGATGAGAAAATTTGAAAGAATATACTGTTAACAAAAAAACTTGAATCATTAATCTTTTTTATTTAATAACTTTTACTCATGATTTTATGATTCTAAGTAATTTTATATCATTTTAAAAAACCCGGAAGAAAATGATGAGACAAAAAGATCTGTATGATGTTGATCATGATCTAATTATGGGCATGGTCATGCCCTTGTCAATGTATATCACCATTGAGGAGATTGCTTTCCTTTGAGCTTTATTTTACATATGTAGATGAGTTATTTATGTACATTAAGTAAGGTTATTTAACATACAACCGATAAAAAATAATCAAATCTGATTAAAAAAAACTCTATTAAAATCATTTTTTTAATTTATTGGATTTTTTTATATATTGTATGCTTATAGTTAATTAGCAATTAATAAACAAATGAATGTGTTTTGAATTTTGTTTCGTGGTGTCATAATATTTTACTTTGATATATTTATATTTATCAAAATATGATAATACATTTGTTTATAATTTTCAACTAAAAAATATTTAAATTATTTATGAATATGAGACAAAGTTAAAATTATGAATATAATATAAATGATATAAATCACATTATATCTCTTTATTTGACAATGTTTCATGATAAAATATTTAATAATAAATTTGCAAAAAAATATATAAAACTTTACAATAATATACTTTACAAAAATATCAAAATTGAATAGTAAAATATTGTTTAATTTAATTTAAATTTTGTATTAAATTAAATTAAAGTCAAATAAAATCAAACTACAAATTTTATATTTAATTCAAATCATTAACTATTCAATAAAGAACCGAATCAAATATAACCACCTACACTCTTAATTATTGGTTTTGAAAGTCGATACATATATAAAACCCAATGCTTTCACACAATAGTTAAAATAAGTCTAACAAAAGCAAAAAATAATTCTAACCCTGTAGGTTAACATGACAAAATCAAGTAGGATCATCGGGCTTAAATGAGTTAAAAAATATTTTTTTAATAAAAAAATAATATTAAAATTTAAAAATGTTAGAGTTGATAAAAAACTAAGGAGATTCTTTGTTTTTTTTTTTTTTTTTAAATGACGAAATACATGTTATCCACGACAAGATAATCAATAATTATGTGCATAACTCAATTAATTATGTGTTATATGTCATCTTTTTAACATTTTCACGACTTAAAACACCTCCTTAGGATTATCAAATCTCATAGTTAATAATGATGTCTGCAAATTTGTATTTAGTTTTCAATTTTTAATTTTTATAATAAAATATTGAATAATATTATATATAATAAATACAATATATATATATATATATATATATTATAATATTTTTAAATGAAACAACTTTCATCTTTACTTTTTTTATTGTCTATTTATTTATTTTAGAATTTGTTTCATTTTCATTTTCATTTTCATCTTTTTCTTTTTTTTTTCGAAAGAGAACATTCTTAATATATTCTTTTATTTTTTTTCGTTAAAAAGAGAGTTTATTTTAGAAACTATAAAATCAAAACCAATTAAGAAAAATAACATCTAACTCTCATCACCTTGTTGGATGTTACCTTTCTTGAGCCATGCCGTAATTACAAATAAAGTGACAATATATTCAATTTAAAATAATAGTATAATAATATACATATATTATTATATTATTATATTGAGTTATTAGTATATTTGTTGCGCATGGGATACGCTGACTGATGAGTACGCAATTATATGAAAGTTTTGATATGAACAAAATTTAACGTGCTTTTATTTAATTAAGTTTAGAATTTCGAGTATATACATTTAATAAAATGAATTTTTTCAAGATAAAATATTAAATTTATTTAGAGAATAGCACTTGTACATATATATTGTACAGTGCATAAATGTTTTCCTTTAATATTCACAACAACCAATATTTATATCTTGTACTATGATTGACCAAGACAAATCTTTCTTATCCATACCCTTGCATTCAAATAACAGCCATAAATAATATTCTGGTTCGTTTCAGAAACAAACAAACAGGAAAAACAATTAAACTATGTATCTTACAACATCTTCATCTCACAACTCTGGACCAGGGTTGTGATTATCTACTTTAGATAATAGTTTACACCATATGACATTGCAGACTTCAAGAGCGCGCACTCAACTTCAAGATGAGTAATTTTGGAAAGGACTAAATTAACATCTTACAAAACCTGAAATAAACCAATGATACTCTTTCACACAAAAAAGAATGAAAGAAATTGGTAATAAAAATAAATAATTCATCGTTACCAGGTCTTTGCGGAGGGGAGACATTATTGTGCTCTTACTTGCAAGACAGAACAAACTGTTTGAATGAAAGAGAGAACAAGAAGAACACCTGCCGCAATGGTAGCGGCAGTTTGCCAAGGAGTTCTACAATAATCACGCTTTAGAGTTGACTTCAAATTATTGCAAGGATTTCTGTAAAATTCATTCAAGTCTTGGCGGAGACGAAAGAAACGGGAACTGACATTTGATTCTGTAACATTCTGCATAAGACCATTAAACAATTTAGCCACAATGTCAGAATCCCCTAGCCAATTAACCAGCACTCTCTTTCGAATCAGTACATCCACATCTTTGCTGGTGTTTACAAGGACGTCCAAAATTTTAACATAGTCTGTAATGTACGATTCTTCTGGATAGTGACATTGCTCCAAAGCCACCATATTCCGAAACAAAAGTTCAGTCCAATCATGCACCTCCAACTGTGGGATTTCAAGATCCCTTCCTGCAAAATTCAAGTCTAGCAAACACTTACTTTCAGTGTTTACCTTAAACCTCACTCCTGCTTCAGACAGCTCAGTAGCGCTAGGAAAATGTTTCACAAATTCTTGAATCCTGTGTGGTAGTTCGTGTAGAGGATGTTTCAGGTTAAAAGTTCTAAGCAGATCCGTAAAGTTGCTTATGCAATTAATATCATCAAAATTCATGCTGGATATATTGTAATCGTGAAAATACCGAAACGTGAGCTGAAGAAATGAATGATCAACACCCTCACCCTCAGATGTAGTGGAGAAGGACATATTGAAGAGAGTGTCAAGAAGAGAAAAAGGAAGCTGGTTCTCAATTAACAACAAATCTAATTGTAAATGAGTGCGCAACCATGTTTTCGTTAGACACACGTCATTTGTGGATGGTTCTCCTTCGGAGTATCTGCAAAAGAGCTCAAGTATAAAACAGGAATCCACAAGGATGATCTTTACCAGTTCATCCTTACTGAACTCAATGCTTTCTGAATAACAGCTACGAATAAAAGACTCCGCCTCTTCTAAGTAGCGGATCCAGGTATCTAAGGTAGTTTGAGTTCGTTGAAGAAAGGCCTTGCAATAGAGGAGTTTGTGTTTTTCCATGTTGTGCAGGCGAGGATGAGCATTGTGGTGAAAAGGGCCAATAGAAACAACCATTGGGGTGTAGGCATCTTTGTTGAGTTTGCGAATACGAAAGGGAACTCTGTAGATGCAACACTGATCACTTACTGGTTCCTCTGCCATCTCCAGCATCGCCCCGATGTCGTTCACTTCAGTACTGTGGTTCATGATTATTGCAATCTACATGTCCAGATACATATAAACCAAATAAACTCAAAGTGATATTAAAGAGTCCAAAAAGGTGATAACTGGGAAGAAAACGAAGAAACTATATATATGATGTCGGAGTCATCTCATATATTACTTTACCTGATTCCTTTGTTTGGATTAAATTTGAAGTGTTGTAGTGGAGGTTCTTTCTCTTACTTCTTGGCTTTTTGCTATGTCAACTCTTGTATTTGTAGAGTTACTTCTTTCTCTTCAATCTCTCTCCCTTCTAATTTTCACTGGTATATGTCACCTCATGTCATGTCTTCCACTTGCAAGTTTTTGAAGAAGACAATTTATTCGTCAATCTTAGGGCTTTTATTCACAAACAGAATATGTCAGTTATAAATAAGAGAGCGTCATTTATTTCACATACGATGAAAACATATTTTAAAAGAAA